TTTCTGTAAATTGTTCATTTTAAACTCTAGATCAACCATGTGAGTCTCTTACACAGGAATGACCCTATTCCTTTTAGTAGTTCACATAATTTTAAATATTTGGGTTCCTACAATTTCACACATTTTAACTCCACGTTTTAACTCATGCACACTCAAGTGGATGTGTGAGCACATACATGTGTGCATGTGCATGTGTGTGTGTGTTTTTGGCAATGAAAGAAATTTAGACATTTTTGTGGTGTGGGTCAAAAACAATTTTTATTGCTCTACTTAAAACCAGAATCTAGTAAAACTCTCGGCATCTAAAAATGAATCTCTTTTTTTCCCTACATGACCAATAAGTAAGACTGATGAAGAGTTCCTACTCTCTCAGGATTAGTAAGGGTAACGTGATGCTAATTTTTAAGATGGTCCATATGCCATAATAGGGTGTCATTGTGAACAGGAGGAAATATGGCAGTTAAAAGACTAATGGTCAGTGAACTCTAGAACAGGAATGGAAAGAATTTTCCTCTTAAAAATTTAGAAATCCTTACTCAGATTTTGTCAAATGTTTTGACCAAATGTTTATAAGCTTTAAATAAACACTAAGTATAGAGGCATAGTACTGAATACCTGAAATATCTTTCTGAATTTTTTTTCTTTTTAATATATGGGTTCAAGGAACATTTCTTAGTAAATAAAAGTTGGAATAAGTTCGTCATTTATTATATAGAGGTAGTAGCTGCTGTATTTTTCATAATCACAGTTAGCATTTGTGGTTAAGCCCCTAAATTCATGTTTTTCTCTCTGAAAGGGGTTTTTAGGAATAAGTCACCCACTTTGTCAGTTCTCCCTGGCCTGATCTCCATGCCTCATGTTCCCTTTTGGGGTGATCCTGTGAGATGCATGGTGCTAGCGGGTCTGGGAATTCAGGAGGGCCTTGGGGTGTGTTCCCTACACACCTCACTATGCTCTTCCACTCTGACCTATATGAGAGAGCAATTTAATGTGAATCTGTTTTGAATAAAATAATTAAAGCAAATGTGTTTTGAGAGAAGTTCATTCATGACAGCTGGAAATCTATAATATAAACACAAATATTTACTGTGTGGCTTTCACTGTTCTAGGAGCTGAAAGTGGAAAATAATAAAATTCTTGACCATATAGAGCTTACATTTTAATAAAAATGATGGCACACTAGACAACTAAATCTAGACTATTTTAGAATCTTAACCTTAGATTATTCATGTTGATTCATGTGTTCTTTCATTTCTTAACTCATTCAACAAATATGACAAAGGATAATACAGCTCAGGGTAGGAACATTTTATTGGTAGGCAAAAGACTTAGAATTCTGCCCTGAATCAAATCACTTGTTGAGTGTCGTAGTGATTGACACATTCCTCACAAGCCTGCTGTGACAATCTGGGCTGGGCTTGTCAGGGAGGTTCTTCCGCTCTTGTGGATCTCTCATGCATGCCTGGTGGCTGGCTGGGTATTGGCTTATTTAATATTGCCCCATTGTAGACAAATGGCTCTTCCTCCAGCAAGCTAGACCAGGTACGTTTCAGGGAGTGGGGTATTGATTGCAAAATGGGTTCTTTTCTCCAGCCTTTCCTGTTTCCAAATTGTTTGCAATGTGACTGTGGAGTCCCTTTAATCAAGAGATTGAACGAATTTCCCTGTTTCCAAAGTCTGAAAATAGAATGTGAGGAAGTGATGCTGTGCAACCCTCGAGCACTAGGCATTAAGAGGCTGTGCATGTGTTTGTGGTATCCCTTGCTTCTCTGCTTTCACCAGCTGTCTTCACTGGGTCCAGACATGTGTGAGACTCCAGTCCAGATCAGCAAAGCCATGCAGTCAATCTCTAGTCAACTCTCAACTGATAATAGGGAGATTTGAAAACATGAAAAAGCAGAATATAAGATGGGATATATATTATAATAAACCTTTGTTTTTTATACAAGAGAATACACAAATATGGAAATAATTGCAGAAGGGTGATGGGTTTATGCACCTTTAAAAAATAAATAATATTCTTAATTTTATCATAAACAACAAATGTAAAGTCTTTCCTTATTGCCAAAACATGTGTACATCAATTTGGAGTAAATACGATATTTTCCATGAATACAATTTTATTTGGAATTCCATTTTGTTATTTAAAAAGCCTCGCAACACCTAAGTGAACCCCATGATCCCAGCTCAGACCAGTAGAACTGCTCAGTTGAGACCGTAACTGCCCTGCTGGCCCACAGGTGGCTACTGAAATGAAGTGCTTGTTGTTGTATGCTGCTAGGGTAATTTAGTTGTTTGTTACACATCTGCATTGCACCATAATTAGCCATTACCTGTGTGGTTTTAGGTAAATCATCAGCCTCTTCACTGGTGGTGCCTGCCCCTGGACTGCAGACAGCAGTGGAAGAGAGGCCCAGGAGAAGGGTCCTATGGCGCTCTCAGGGAAGGTGGTGTGGATGCTCATGTGGGCCCCCTGTGTCCATGGAAGTCTATTTTAGTGATAGAGTGGATGGGAAAACATGGAGGAAATAAGATAAACTTGAGTCCAGCCCCCATAGCACCCATATTTGTCAATTAGTCACAGTCTCTGTGTTTGAAGTTATTGCCCCTTTAAGTTCTCTCTGAATAAGAGTGAGAAAGATGAATGAGAGACAAAAAATAAAAAAGTCAGAGAAAGAGAAAGAAGAGGAAGCTGTATATAAGATGTGTAATTTTAAATAAAGATTAACTGAAATAAACATGAACTTCTCAGGTTTGGTTTCTGTCCGCCCGAGCCCACCATACTGCCCACCACACCAGGTGTATGATGGCTGACATGACAGAGAAGCGGTCCCCAAACTTCTTGGCACCAGGGATGGGGGGTTGGTTTCGGGATGAAACTGTTCCACCTCAGATCATCAGGCATTAGTTAGATTCTCATAAGGAGGGCTCAGCCTAGATCCCGCAGTTCACAATAGGGTTTGTGCTCCTATGAGAATCTGATGCCCGTGCTGATCTGACAGGAGGCAGAGCTCTGGCGGTAATGTTCACTCACCTCTGCTCACCTCCTGTTCTGTGGACCAGTTCCTAACAGGCCATGGACCAGTACTGTGGCCTGGGGGTTGGAAACCCCTGTCATAGATCATTCCAGCCTCGTTACACCTAGACTTAAAAGTCATACCATCAAGACAGATGCTTCATGATGACTCTGATTGAAGTTCTGATTGTACAGTAAGAGCTAGTGTCACACGTACAGAGCTTAATCACATCTTTACGTGGACATTACACAAATAGCCAGGGCAAAAACCCAACATATTTTCCCTCTTAACACTCTTCCTTGTAATCTGATCTGCAATAGTAGCACTGGCCTGAATTAAATCCTCTGGGCTTTGAGGATCTGATAAGCAACAGTTTCCTTGTCCTTGTTTATACATCTCTTCTTTCCCAGCCAGAGAGAATTCTCTGTTGCTTTCTTACAAAAAAATGTGCCCCCCTTCTTAGCCTGGCTAACCTCATTGCATTTCTGCCCTGTCAGTCTTTCATTTTCATTGGCAAAATGGGAAAAATGATATCTGCCTTTTCCAATATTACAGGGCTATTGCAATGATCAAATGAAGTGATTAAGGTCCAAATGGAGTTAGTATTAAGCACCAGGAACTCTGCAGGATTCCAAGATGATTTGGTCATGGATTCTGTCCTAATAAAGAAGAAAAATGTAAATGATTTATAGATTCGTCCTTAGTTTATCTTTATTTCCCCACCCTGTGAAAGTGGATTAATAACAAAAATAGACTGTTTGTGGTGAATTATCTTTGATAATTGCCCCTCATGCTAGAAAACAGAACCAGGATCAGTGACACTAGTGAGCAGCTGTCTTCCTCTAGAAAAACCTTTGCTCTATCATCAAACAAGGCTTACAATTTAAAAAGGGAAGAAATCATTTCATTAAAGAAAGAAGCATGAGCCAAAGGCCTTTCTCGCAGACTTCAAACTGTTAAAGGTAACTAGAGGTGACTGACCAAATTAGGTCAGGCAATAAATGAGAAATATGTTTAATCTTAGCACGATTTTCCACTCTGTTTTCTGTTTTGTTTCATAGGTGGAGGGTAGTTAAATATATGTCTACTTTGAGTTTGAAAATACACTTTAGGAATTGTATCTTATCAGTAAGTGCTTTACAAACACCATTTATTATCTGATTTGAAATATTGCTAATCCATTTGAACAATCCCGTTTATCAAAAGTATGTCAAGGAAATTTTGTGCCATATATGAATATATATATGTAAAAGTTTTCTCAGTGTTGTTAAAAATAGTAATAAGTTGAATTCAGCATAAATATCCAGCAACAGAGGATTTTTAAAATAAAATATGACACATCCAAACAATGAAATGCTGTGTAGCCACTAAATAATTTCTATGGAAATCTTTTTGGTTGGTATTTTTATATCTTTTTCCTATGTATTAATACTGGAACATAATGTTAAAAGTGCTTTTCTCCAATAATGGGATTTTAAGTAATCTTAATGTATTTATTATGCTACAGGGAATATTTTGTGTAGTTTCAAAATTAAAAAAATATGTAACATAAAAATACAAATACCACTAAAGATAAGGAAAGAATTGTTCTTAATAACTGCAATAAAGGAAAGTCATACAAATGGCATTAATCTTTTCTGCAGCTCCGCTTACTTGCTAATAAAACAACCAAATAAAATAGTTGTTGCATATAGTAGAAGCAGAGAAAGACAAAGCTTTTATTCTAAATGGAGCCAAACTTGGCCTAGCCCAATCTGCACATGCGTACTTGCTTGGCACATAGCCTTGCTTCACAAGTCCTCTTGGCATTGTAAATATCATGGTTCTCTTTTCAAGGACACTTTGTGTGAGAAGCACTTTCTTGGCACTGGACACTAAATAATTATTAACTGACATGTTGCACTTAATAGTTTGTGGTCTCAGCTCTTGTTTATATAAAACGTTTGACCACAGCTCTGAAACACCTCATCGTGTAGGTGGGGAACTTGTCATAGGAACTCAGATGGTAGGACCCGTTGGCTGGTTACTGCTAGCCCTTGCCAGCTTTGTCCTCACTGGCTGCCAACACCCCCGCCCCCGGGGCCCTGCTACAGACACCAGGTACTCCTATTTAGAGCTGGTCATGGATAAGGAAAAGGCAGATTTGGCCACAGGATCTCAAAACATAGATCCACTTTATGTAGAAAAATCTCTTGAACCTATCAGGAGTACCAGGTGAGCAAAAAGTGACTCATGATTAGATATATCTAAGGATGGCAAAGGGGCAAGTGAGAGAAACTGGATTAAGTTATCCCCCAGTGAAGAATATTACTTGTGTTAACAAAGTGTAAATTTTCTGACACGTGACTTGCAAAGGAAAATGTGATTGATTAGCTGAAGAACTCCCGAAGATTGTAGCAAATCTTTAATAGTGTAATAACCTTTGAAGATTTTTTGAAGGAACACATACAGAAGAAGAGGAAGAAAGTTCTCCCAAGTTTGACTCAGGTACATCATGTGGTGCTACCATTCACTCCTTTATATGGTGGCCTCTATATTTGCTTTGGTCTCCCTACATTGAATGCATTTTGTTGCAATTTGCTTTTATATCAATTTATAGAAAACTTCTGAAAGAATTCCCTACATATGCTGCCTCTGCTGATTTCCTCCTGGATTCTCAACAAAACTGAGGCCGATCTCTATACCTTATCACATAACCACGGGACTGGAAATGCTTCCTCAGAGGTAACTAATGATTTTCTGATTATTCCGCTTCTTTTCATTCTTTCTCGTATTCAACTTTCCCATATCAACTTACAATTCTGATCGTACTTTTCTTCATGAAACTCTCTTTACTTTGGTGTATAAAACTCTGGTTTTGTTTTTTTCAGTTCTTCTCCTCTTCCCTTTTCCCCGTCTTTCCTTTCAACATACCTTTTAAGTGGCACTGTCCTTAGATTTCGGACTCTAGCTTCTTCCCTTTCCACATTGTGTATCTCTCCAGGTTAGCTCAGCCTCTCTCTTGACTTCACATCTTCATCTCATAAGTGACAAGTATACACCCAAGCTTTCTTGTGACACCATGTGAAAAGTTTCATCTGCCTACATGACATTTCTACCAGGACATTCCACCACAGCTCAGAATAGATCTGTCACCCTCCCTAAAATGTATTGCTTTGCTCGCAGTCAGTATCTCAGCCAGTGGCACCCCCACCCTGAGGCATCCCTTCTGCTGAAAACATCCCACAGCCATCTCTCTTACAATCCCATCTTTTCACTAACTCTGGTTCATTTTAATTCTGATATGGTCCTGGTTTTATCTGCTTCTTTGCTCACTACGAAGCCCGATTTCTAACCATTATCTGTTTTCATCTGGATTACTACTAAAGCCTTTGGTTTCATCTTTCTGCCTACCCTGTACTTCCTCCTCAAACGAGAAGTGCAATTGCTCCAATATATTTCCCACACAAGGCCCAATCATGTCACTCTTCCCACACACTTTTCTGGTTCCCTGTTACCTGTAATATATAGCATAAACTCTAGCTGGGCCCTCCTTCAGAGCTCTTCCTGCTGGTACCCCGCCTCCCCACCCCTCCTGTGTTGCTCCTTAACTTGTGTGCAACTTTGTCACCCCATCCCATTGCTCACGTCCTCCCCTCTACTTAAAATACCATTTCCTTTTTCCTCCTTTTCCTACTTCTTCTAATTCAATTCAACCCTTCTTGACCTAAGGCAGTCAACTGGGGACCAAAAAAAAAAAATTACTGGTACTCATAGAATGTGGTCTGAGTGTATTTAATATGCTGATTCAGACATTTGGTAATTCCTGGAATTGCAAACTACTTTCTTAAGTAAAACTATCTCATGATATTTGTTAGCTGTTCCTGTGGGGGAAAGCAAAGAACATCATTGAGTAACATGAAAACGGAAGGAAAATGATAGAGAATGGCAAAACCAATGTTCCTTAATGTGACCATGTGGAATGGAATGTCTTTTGGTATATAATGCATCTTTGAGCACAGCCATGGGGATTGCTGTTGTCAATAGAATTCTCAATAGAAAGTAATCAGAGCCAGTTTTCCTAAGAATTATTTTCCAAGGAATTTCCCTTACTACAATCCAGGTTTAAAAATAACTCACAGAAACAGACAAAGGGGAAAAGGGAGAAGTTTATCATCCATAAACAAATGTAAAAACCAATAAATTTGTAAGAACAAGTCAACTAAACCTAAATGCAAAATAGTATGCTAAATTTGAGAGAGATGCATATAGAGAGTAAGAGGAAATTGGAAGCAGATATTCTGAGGGTCAGATTTCTTTTGGTCAATTGCTAAAGAAATATACCATTTCAGCCCACTTGGACCCAGTTTTGCTCTCCCGAAACTAGAAGATCTTTAGGTATTATTTCAGCTTTAACATACCATGAGTATTAACTTAATTCAGTGCAGTGTGTCTCTAGTAACTGATGTGCTCAGGACGAATATCTGCCTGAGATTCAGAGATAAATTAATCTTGGGCCTTTTACCTTCAAGTAACCACTCTGTAGTGAGAGAGAATGACACATACATGTTATATTCCCTCACAGAGGGTAGACTGTGGTTGGTGATATACCAGGCATACACAAACGCAGAAAGGAGCCAGCTGAGATGGCAGAGCAAGGATGAGAAATGAGCCATTTTCAGAGCACATCTCTTTGTGACACCCACATCAGTCTAGTGACTGAGTCTCTAGTGGTGAGATCTGGGGCTCTCCTGGTCCCTGTGGCATGCAGTGTCATTTAAATCAATAACTTCAATAAATGCATATCAAGATGCTGTAGTAAATGCAATGGAAGTGTATAAGCTTGTCATAAATATGATGGAAATACATTAGCTTGCTAGGTACTTAACAAAGTACCATGGCCTGGGTGACTGCAGAAACAGAAATTTATTCTCTTTCAGTTTTGGAGGCTGAAAGCTCCAAGATCAAGGTGCTGGCAGGGCTGGTTCCTTGTAAAGCCTCTGTCCTTGGTTTGTAGATGGCTATCTTCTAGTTCTTTTCACATCTTCTTTCTATGCATATGTGTCTAAATCTCTTATTTTAATAAACGTGCTAGTCATATTGGATTAAGGTGAAGCCTAATGATCTCATTTAACTTGATTACCTCTTCGAAGACCCTGTATCCAAATAAGAGCATATTCTGAGGTACTGGTGGTTATAAATTTAATGTATGCATTTTTTTGGTGAGGAGCACAATTTAACCCCCTAGCATCTAGTGTAAGAAAAAATAGACTCGTGTTTTGTTCATAATAAAGGGAACCACTACCCTGTGAATAGTGAGGTGGAGTAATTAAGCACACCTGGATACAGATGCCAGCCCTCCATGTATTAGCTATATGTCCCGTGATGCTGCTGAGATTGGAGACCTTCAGTTTATTATCTGTAATATGGGAGTAATAATTCTAACATCAGACATTTAGGAATTCTAAATCTAACATCTCAGAAATCAGGAGGAACAAAATACTGGGATACACAGAATAACATTTAACTTCATCAGGAGCACAGAGTAACCCCTTATTTGTTACCTTGAAGGCACAAAGTTGAGAACCATTAAGTCAGATATGATAGAGTTAATTAAGAAGAAATGGAATAATAGAAAATTTTTCTTGATTTAATGATTGGTAATTGAAACCTTGTCAGTACTTAATTTTCCTCGATCTTTTATGGATAATTCATGTGAAAGAGTTATTTACCACCGGTAATGACTCAACACATACCAGTGGGAAATAAACACTGAATTCTTTTTACTTGTCTCAGCATTGTGTGTTTGACTCATTCCCAAGGACATAAACAGGATTTAATTTGGAAAAAAAGAAGGATTTTTTAAAACCCTAGGGACTGTGATAACTTGCATTTATTTATTTCATTTGGCTTTGCATTGTCTCCTTAAGTGAGCATTCTACTCCTGTGTGTAATGGGTAGGTGCTTTCAACTCTAATTCTTACCACTGGCTATTTTGACTGAAAGTTTCATGAATACATTATGATTCAATTTTTTTGAAATACTTCTTGACAAATTTTTCTGTTCATGTCATTCCAAATTTTATTTGCTTTCTCCACTCCCATTCTGTGGCAAAATACATATACTTAAAAGAACATCTAATTTGAATATGTTCTGAAACAAATCATAAAAGCTAAGATGCACAATGCATATTGTGCATGGAACCCAGGCACTAGAGTGAAGTGGATATTTTGCTAACAATCATGGCCAACACTTATCCATTTTCCCCCCTGTGTATCAGGCATTTCTAAAGGATGGATTTTATATCTTAGTTTTAGGTTATGTGTGCCAGTTCACCAGCTGGGAGATGATGTAAGCAAGGTTCAAACCCAGTTTGCTAAATCTAAAATTGATGCTCTTTAAACTCCATTAAGCTTGACATCCACTTAGTAGATTAGAAGTAACTATGTGAGGGACTTAGAAGTTTCTGGAAGGAAAAAGAAGCTTCAAAATGAGCACAGCCCTGCAGAAAGTAGTGCTGGTCTTTGGAGAGATGATTATGAGTGCAGGACTATCTGCCAGACGAGCTGTATGACATTTGACGACTCTGAGTGCTGTGGAGTGCAGGGTGGAGCAACATGAGAAAAATCTGTAATAAGAACACTTGAATTTAAAAAATGTGTAGTGCATTTGAGGCAAAAAGAATATTTTTGTGACAACACTACCTCAGACAGTGTTTCAGAGGGTGAGGGGAGTCCCCCTAATCATTATCCACCATGCACTTTGGACTCTGAAGGCTCTGTTCCTGTGGCACTGTTGGTTGCCTTTCTAATTTTCTCACTATTCTTTACTAAAGAACCTTGATTCTGTGAGAGACAGGAACGCGCCCAGCCCCCAGGCAATGCATCATGATTGATTTGGACTCATTATGACTAGTAATGACAGCCTCATTTCTCTTTGTCAGATTCTTAATTTTAGAGCTTTCCTGATGCTCAACAAGATTTTTGTTTCTTCTCATTCCCAGCACCTCGTTCATGACTGGTATATCTGTGTCATACTTTTATCAAAACAAGATATTGTTCTTCATGCTATTAAGCAATCTTTCCTTAAATTTCTGCTGTCTTATCATGATCACTGCTTATCATCTCCTTAATTTTCTTTTTCTGCATCTCTGTTATATTTTATGTTTTCCATGTCATTTTGTTTCATACATATATCTTTCTCTTATATTTAGTAATATATATCTTGCGTATATATTTGAAATGGCATCTAGTAGAATATATATCTAATAAAATGTATTCTGCCATGGGATTTGTTTGAATCCAATGAGATTCTTTAACCTTTTACACATAGAACTTAAAGCAATTATTTGACATAGTGGATAGAATCAATCACATTTTTGGGAAATAACTTTCTTTCAAAGGACAACAAACAAAATGCATTAAATACATATTTTAAGTCGTATTAAAAATCCAAGATCAAAAATGTAGTGAGGATGTACTGAATTTTGTTTTGGGGCAGGGGAAAGTAATGGAGTGTATGTTTGCCTCTTGCCTGAAACAAAACAAATTTGCAAAACATACAAAACAATGTGTTTTAAGACACTGAATATCAGGCACTAAATGACCATCATCTCTGAGAGACAGGAATAGAACAAGGTGAGCCCTCTAATTTCTCTAGCTTACCACCTTGAGAGGGTTTCCAGGGTCAGGGGCAGGAAGAGGGAACCCAGACAGCCTAGTGGAGTTCTGAGTTGAAGAGATGAA